CGACCTGCTGCGGCCCGAACCTGCGCCCTCGCGCAGGCCGAGGGCGCCCCCCGCGCGCCAGACGGCGCCGCTCCTCAGGCCGCCCGCCTTCCCCCTGTGGGTGGCGGCGCCCCTCGCAGGTAGTACGCGAGGAGGCCTCTCCTGGATCTGGTCGGGCGCGAGCTCGCCCGCCAGCGCGGCGTGGGGCGCCGCGCCGTGCCGCAGCTGGTAGGGCTCCATGTGGTCCAGGTTGGCGAGGGACGCGCACCGTGCGAACAGCTAAACTCGGCTGAGTCGAAGCTACACAGGCGGCCGGACGGCGTCGACCCCCTCATGAGTGCATGGAGGGACGCGTCAAGCAGGCTGGTCTCTCGCCCCCTGAGTAGCATCCCCTCGTCGAAGTGGCCGACCTTGCTCGGCCGCGCGGCCTCGGACGGGAAGAGCAGCAGCCCCCGCGCCAGGACGACGGCGGAGGGGCTCGGAGCGACCAGGCTGCCCCCCACCATCTCCACGATGTCGGTCGGCAGGCGCAGGAACCAGCCCCACGCGATCACGAGGGCGAGCGCGAACTCCTCCAGGCGAAGGTGCAGCGCCGCCCCGAGGATGGCCAGGTAGGCCGGGCGGGGCAGCGGCCGGCGCGCCCCACCGGGCGCTCGGCGGCGGAAGCCGCTCAGCGCGGCCCGCGCGCGCACGAGGCTGCGAGGCCCGTTGAGCTCGCACTCGGGCCGGTAGTAGCGCAGGGCCGCGACGGTCTTCTGACCGCGTGACTGGCTGAAGCCCCCGAAGTACAGCATGTCGAGGTACTGGGCGAGCGCTATGTCGAGCTCGCTCGTCGTCCGAGTGGCAGAGCCCCGGCGGCGGGCCCACTCCAGGAAGGCCTGGTGGAGCGAGGCGCACGTCCGAGCCTGCCTGTCGGACACCCTCGCGGCCTCCAGGAAGGTCGTGCCCAGCGGCCGTGCCGGCCGCCGCCCAGCCGCCGCCCGGCGGCGCCGCGCCCGCCCCTGCGCCTGCCTCTCCGCGGCCGCGAGGTTGGACGTGATGCCCCCCTGCGCCCGCGCATTCAGCAAGCTCAACTGGTTCGTCGTCAGAGTCCGAGTCCTCCCAGCTGAGGGCAGCGCCCGCGCCGCCGGCGGTGGTCGAGGCGGAGCCCCGGGGGCCGCCCGGCGCAGGGTCCGCGAGGAAGCAGCCCCCAAGCCCCCCCAGCCCGTGGACGTCGCCGACCTCGTCCCTGACGAGCTCGTCGACGGCCTGGCCCTGGCGCTCGGCGGCCCAGCGGGCAGCCGCCTCAGCATCGCACCAGGCACTGCGCGGGTCGAGGCGGGCGTCGTTGGCGATCGCGGACTTGAGCCGAGACGGCCTGTCGGACTGGTTGAGCTCCGAAGGAATCCATCTCACGGCCACAACCAAGTTTCCCAAGAGGCTGAGCGCAAGCATCTCTCTGCAGGTGCGCACGAGGTGAGGCGAGGAGGACCTTCCCTTGCCGAGCGCAAGCACGACGGACAAATTATCGCACAGTACGACGAGGCGGTGGCGCTGAGCCGAGACCCGCCTCAAGCGGTGCCTCACCGTCAACAAGACGACTCATGATGTCGTCTTGGATGCGCCACCTGCCCTTCACCTTCAGGCCCCAGTCGTCGAAGGCGCCGATGTCCGCGGCCGTCACCGCCAGGAAGTCGGAGCCCCCCTTTCCTGGCGACGCGGCTGCCGCATGCCTTGGGAGCCTCCACACCCAGCATGTGGCACCGGGCGGTGATGGCGCCCATGACGTTATACCTCCAGCGCCCGGCCTGGCACGCCAGGCGCTGGACCCCACCTCCGCCTCGCTGCCCCGGCTCACGACGCCGCGCCCGCCGGCGTCAACGCCCGAGCTCCCCGAGGCGTCGGCGGCGCAGATGTCCGACGCCGGCGGCCTCTTCGGATCCACGAAGCAGAAGCAGACCAAGGCGGCCGCGCGGCGCAGCTCGAGCTCGACGCTGGGCCACATCCGCCACTGGCGGCGGTCGGCGCGGTCGGCGAAGCGGTAGACGCTGTCGAAGATCGCCGGCAGCTCGCGGCGCACCAGCGCCGCCCACGTGAAGTGGCCCACCAGGCGGCGCAGGTCGCCCCCAGCGATGCGCCGCTGGTCGGCCGCGCACACCAGTCCGAGCCGGAGCCGCCAGAGCCGCTCGCGGCCCAGGGAGATCTCGCCCGTCTCCACGTCGAAGTGGAGGCCCGTGAACTTCTGCAAGCCCCCCGAGCGCTCCACGCCCTTGCAGATCAGCCCGTGGTCCTGCAGGCAGCGCGTCACGTCCCGGCAGCGCTGGTCGACCATGCTGGAGTCCGCGCCGAGGATCGCCACGCCGTCGACGCACACGGCGGCAACCTCCCCAGAGCGGACGTCTGGAGTGGTGTGGCGATCCCTCACGAGGCGGCTGTCGGGGAACCCCGACCACCGCACGGCGGTCTCCACCATGGACTGGCAGAAGTACAGGCCCCACGTCCACCCCATCGGCAGCACGCGGAGGAAGCCCGAGATCTTGCCCCCCTCCGGGAGCACGAGCCCCGGGCGCGCCGCCAGCAGGGCCCGCCGGCTGACCGCCGGCAAGACGAAGCGCCGGCTCAGCCTGGGCGGCAGCAGGATCCTGTAGAACGCGTTGTCGATGTCGACCTGGGACAGGAAGAGCTTGTCGTCTGGCTTCAGCGTGAGGCCGTTCCAGGCCCCCGCGGTGGGGAGCTGCGTGTAACCCGGGCCGGCGAACTCTTGATTCACCGCCCTGGTGTCGAATATCAGGCGCTGCCGAACTTTGTCGGACTTCAGCACGAAGAACACCCCAACTGTGGCCGACTGCCCCAGCCCGAAGTAGAGCAAGTTAGAGTCGTAGAGGTCGAGCAAAAAAGAAACCAGGGAGGACTGCGATCGGACGAACTTCGGATCATTGCAAGGCTTGACCCGCCCCCCCTGCATGTCTGAAACCGGGCGCATCAGCCGGCCCTTCCAACCAACCAATTCATCACGTGCAACACCCTCCAGGAGCGATAAGCCGTCGCAGAGGGCGTGGCCCCCGCGGGGGAGCGAGACGAGGTCCCGCTGGAAGGGCGCACGAATCTCCGGCGTCTGAGCGCAGCCGGGAGCGTGCCCGCACAGCTCAGCGAAGGCTGCCGCGGGGGCGATGCAGGGCGGGCCGACGGAGGAGATCACGTCCTTCACGTGCTGCACCCCGGCCCCCTGCGCACTTGACAAAAGCTGGTCGCCCTTTGGCGCGCCATGTGAGTAGAGGCCGTTCAGCGCCTCGTGGACCTCACACTCCCAGTCGCGGGCGCACTCGGCCTGCCGGCGCCTCGAGCGCGCGGCGCGGCAGCAGCGGGCAGCCCTCGCTGCGCGGCCGCCGTCTACGGGAGCCCCCACCGGCAAGAGCTCCCGAGCAGCACTCATCATTTGCCCCGGCGCCCGCGGCCGCCGCCGCTGCCGCCGTCGAGCTCCGCGTCGCCCGTCCAGTCGCCAAGGCGCGCCTGCAGGCGCTCGATCTCGTCCGCTTGGTTCTTGATCTTGCTCTCCAACGCGGCGGGGGCCCCGCCGCTGCCAAGGGCGCCGCCGCCAGGGCCGCGCGCGGTGGCCCTCTCGTCTCGCAGCTTGCGCCGCTCCTTGAGGATGGCCGCCTCCTTGTGGAGCTCCTCCGTGATGTGCCGCTGCAGCTCTGGGGCCACCATGAGCAGCCCGCGCGTCTCCGCCGCCCCCATGCACAGGCACTCGCCCTCTACCACGTCCACCTCGGAGCCCCCGCCCGCCACCAGATGACGGCGTCTCCACTCCGCCATCTGGGCCCGCCGGGCGAGGTACTCGAAGCAGGCCAGCTCTGAGGCAAAGAGCTGGTCGTACACCACCGCCACCTCGAACATCCCCATCGCCAGCTCGTGGTCCGCCACGCCGGCGTCGCCGCTCTGGAGGCGGCACTCCGCCTTCCACTTGACGTGGCGAGCCCTCGGGTGCATGTCCTGTTCCCGAGGAACTCCTAGCACCACTTGACCGTCCGCGGTCCGCGCACTGGCCTGTGGCTCCAGTGAGACTCCTGCAGCAGCTTCACCGCGTCGCGGAAGACCCGCTTCTGCTCGCCAGAGTGGTTCTCCAGCACGGGCATCACTCTAGCGTCCAGGTCGGCCCCCCCCTCGGAGGCCGTCTTCTTGTCGACCGCGCGGAAGAGGAAGATCCGCCCCCCGACCTTGGCGACCCCGAAGTCGCCGATGGTGGCCCAGCTGTCGACTCGGTAGTCCTCGAGAGTCTGCGGGCCCAGGGCGCCGTCCGACATGCAGACCACCTGCCAGACCATCGGGGCAGGGCTCTCGAGCACCCCCGCCCCGACCTCGACCTCAGTACCCGCTGGTCGACCCCGAGTGGCTGAAGAGCCCGTCGCCACTGTCAGAGCCTTCACCCCGCTCGCTGTCATCGGCTTCTTCCCAACCATGCGGTGAGCGGGGGCTGAGCCGTCGGAGTCGCCCATCACGGCGAAGCGAATGGCCCGGCTGAGCTCGAGTGGTGTGGGCGCCCAGTCCTCCCCGTAGGTCCTCGAGCGCCGGGACCATCGCCTGCCTTCGCCAAGGGTCGGGTCGAAGCGGTCCGTCGAATCGGCGAGGCACAGACCGGCTAGAGGAGGCGCTGCGAGGAGATGCGGGTACGTGTCGCCGTCGGGGCTGAGAGCGTACCAGATCCGGCTCTGGATCTCGGGATCGTCGATGGCGCTGATGCCCATCACCTCGTCGAGGTCGCCCGCGGTCGCGGGCGTGAGCAGCACCCTCACCTGCCAATCCTCCCCGTCGTTCCAGAGCACGCAGACTCGCCGGCCCGTCTCGAGCCCGCTGAGCACACGGGCAGCCATCGATGGCAGCACAGCGGAACCCCAGGAGGAATCCCACGCCGCCGATGGCCACCACCAGCCCAGGAAGTCCTCCAGGCAGGTTGGCCGCGAAGGCGCACTGTCCAGCAGCACCCAGCACGGGGCCTATCGTGCCCCACTGTGAGGCAGCCCAAGAGGCAAGACTGACAACTGTGAAAAGGGGCATGCGCTCTGCCGCTGATTTGAGCCTAGAGCAACGGATATAATCCAGTGGCCCGCCCAACCTTTCCGTGCCAAGATGTGCGGGCACGAGGTAGGAGGAGGAGGAGGAGGAGCAAACGACACGCTGCGGAGGAGGAGGAGGAGGAGGAGGAGGAGGAGGAGGAGGAGGGAGGATGGAGGAGGAGGAGGAGGAGGAGGAGGAGGAGGAGGGAGGCCAGCCTCGGCAAGAGAGGCGCGCGCGCCTACGCTTGGGGGGGGCCCGCGGCCGCACCGACGGCCGGCAGCTCCCTGCGCGGCGACGCGGCCGGAAGCGCCGTGCCTTGGCGGCGCGCACAGCAGGGCAGAGGGAGGGGGGTGGAGGCTTCCTGGAAGGAGGCTGCGTCTTCGAGGGCGCCGGCCGCGCCTTCCAAGAAGGGGGCGTGCTTCCAAGAAGCCCTCCACCTCCCTCTGCGGCCATTGTGCGCGCGGCCAAGTGCCCAGCAGCCAGCTGTACAGCTCGGCCGTGGCGTAGGCGGGGATGGTGCTGGCGTGGCCGAAGCGCCCCGGCCGGGCTGCCGCCCAAGAGGGCCAGCTGGGCAGGCTCTTTGGTTGACACTCTTCGTGACTTTTTCCGACGTCGGTGGGGGGCTCCTCGTCGCCACGGCTAAATGCGCCTCGAAATTCTGACCAGGGCGCGTCCCTGGAGAGGTCTGGGAGGGGGGTGAGTTTTCTGACGATCTCAAAGTTTTCTGGCCTCGGGGTGCTTTCTGGCAGCTGCGCCTGGCCGAAGGCATTCTGAGGGTACCCAGATCGTCCCGAACGGTCGCCTGAGGCCCGAGCTGTGGCCCAAGAACCGACCAGCCCAGGCCCCAGACCCCCTCGCGTCGTGGAAAAAGCACGGCGGGAGGTACTCGGCAATCTTCAGCCTCTGGGTGCCCCACGCTGGGCCCCAGGGCCGTCAGAAAACAGCTCGGGACGAACCGCCTGTCCAGGGGCAGGGGTCATGGTCTCCGCGGGTAAAGGTTCCCCCCGAGCTCACGACGCCAGGGGTCTGTGCAGACAGGCATCCAGGCGCAAGGGAGCGATCCACATCGCCCTATGGTCGGCCTCTCCAGTGGTCTCTCTGACTGCTCCCTATGCCACCTGTCAGGAGCTGCCAGGAGTGTCCCTGACCCAAGGTGCCCACATGCTCCTCCTTCTCCTCTTCCTCCCCCTCCTCCTCCTCCTCCTCCTCCTCCTCCTCCTCCTCCTCCTCCTCCTCCCTCCTCCTCCTCCTCCTCCTCCTCCTCCTCCTCCTCCTCCTCCTGCTCCTCCTCCTCATCATCCTCCTCCTCCTCCTCCACCTCCTCCTCCTCTGCGTATTATTATTATTCCTACTTATCCTCTTCCTCCTGCTCCTCCTCCTCCTCCTCCTCCTGTGCCATGTCCTCCTCCTCTTCTTAGTGTCAATGTGCTGATTAGTCTTAGTGATATTCTTCTTAGTAGTAGTACTATTAGTCATATTCTTAATAGTATCATTAGTAGGTGTCTTATTCGTATTAGTATTGTTATTCTTAATAGTCGTAATATTCGCATTAGTGTCAGTCTTCTTTTTCATAATACTAGTATTAATACATATATATATATATACTGCATTGTTATGAGTTGTTCATGATCCGCATGATTACTATTAATAATCGTACAACTATTATTATTCATACTATTATTCTACGTATTACAATTAGTATTAAGATTAGTACTAGTATTATTATTCATCTTATTTTTATTATTAGTAGTATTGTTAGCATTATTCCTCCTCCTCCTCCTCCTCGTCCTCCTCCTCCTCCTCCTCCTCCTCCTCCTCCTCCTCCTCCCTCCTCCTCCTCCATCCTCATCCTTCATCCTCCATCATCCCCATCCATCCTCCATCCTCCATCCTCCATCCTCCATCCTCCATCCTCCATCCCTCCCTCCATCTTCCATCCTCCCCCCCTCCTCCACCTCCTCCTCCTCCTCCGCCTCCACCTCCTCCCCTCCTCCTCCTCCTCCTCCTCCTCCTCCTCCTCCTCCTCCTCGTCCTCCTCCTCCTCTCCTCCTCCTCCTCCTCCTCCTCCTCCTCCTCCTCCACCTCCTCCTCCTCCTCCTCCTCCTCCTCCTCCTCCTCCCCACCTCCCCTCCCCTCCCCTCCCCTCCTCCCCTCCCCTCCCCTCCCTCCCCTCCCCTCCCTCTCCCCTCCCTCCCTCCCTCCCTCCCCCTCCCTCCTCCTCAACCTCTCGTACCACACGTTGGGGGTTCCTGGGGTCCCCTGGTCCCGTGAAGGTGCTCTGCAGGCCACCTGCGCCTCCTGTCGGAGATCCTGGGAACGCGGCGGCCCAGGGGCAAGATCTGACACGTCCGCTTGGGGCAACTCCGTTTGGCCGAAAATAAAAGCACCCGACCCGACACCTGGCCCGCAAGGCGACCGCGGGGCCATGGCCGAAATACGTGGGCCAGCCCTTTGGCGCCGGCGCCTCCTCATACAGCGTCAACCTCGCATCCCGCTCCACCGCGCCGCGCCGCCGGAGCCCTGCCACGAGATCTTCGCTGTACTCGCTCGGCACGACGACGTCGTTCCGGCCGTGGAAGGCCCACACCGGGACGCCCAGTAGGGACCCGGCTTCTGGCGCACCGGCCGGCGCCACTGGCACTACCGCGGCAAATCGGCGCGTGGCACCAGCCGCCGCGAGGGCCCCCGCGCCGCCCATGGAGTGGCCCGTGACGTAGAGCCTGCCGGGATCCAGATTCAGCCCAGCACTCTCGTCAAGCAGGCAGTCCAGCATCCTCGACACGGTCGCAGGCGGCCAACCGCGATCGGTGTGCGGCGCCACCACGACGAAATTCTCCGCGAGGGCGCGCGCCGCCGTGCCCACGGCCAGCTCCACAGGTGGCGTGCCCGTGGCGCCCTCGGACAGGATGTCGCGCAGGTCTCCGCCCTGCTCCCCCGCGCCGTGGAGATACAGCAGGAGCGGCACGGGGCCCCTGCTCGGCGGGGGCTTGAAGACCAGCGCAGGGAAGGGACACCGCCCAGAGACCAGCTCGATCGGGTCCCGCGGCACGCCACCGGTCCCTGTCAGTGCCGTGCGCGCCTCTGCTGGGCTGGTGGTGGCTGCTGCGGCCGCAGCCCCGGGGTTCTCCGAAAGCGCCACCTCGGGCGCCACCGCAGCCAGGGCGCGCCACGCCAACCAGCCCCCGGCGCTGCAGCTGAGAGCCATGGCCCCGAGCGCTGCTGGTAGCGCAGTGGCCGCGGGCGCGGCGCGCCGCTGCGGGCACATGGAGGGCAGGCGGGCGGAAGTGCGCGTTCGAGCAAGGTGGCTGGGGCCAGAGGTAGCGCACAGATGGCGCGTGAAGGGGGACGGGGAGTAGTGCGGGGGAGGGGGAGGGGGAGGGGGAGGAACTGAAATTGCGGGGGGATGGCGGCAATACGATGTAAGCAAGTATTTTCCTTGTCTATCAAGTATACATTCGCGCCCATGTTTGGGCAAGATGGCAACCGAGCGTCCTATTCGAGTCGGGAGTGCGCGGGCGACCGATCAGTTCCGGCAAAGCAGGGGGACCGAGAAAGAGGGAAAGCCAGAAGTGTCCAGACCCCGCGCAACTGCCCAACACGACTGGGAGACCTGGCGGCCACCTGGGAGGCTCGCCAGGTCGGCGACGTGCGTGACAGAGCGTGCCCACTGACTGTTCTCAGCGAACACGCCCGTGCTCTTCGGAACGGCACGGGGCAGCTCACCTGAGCAAGCGAGAGGTGGCAAGCCATGCGCCGTGGCGGCGCGCGAGGGCCTTGCGCCGCTCCGAAAGCCGAGCCTGGAGACCAGGCTCGGCGAGGCATGACACAAGCCCCGCGGAGGCGAGGGCGCGGAAAGGGCACATTGGACTGCCAGAAAGGCGGGGGTCGCCTTGAGGGCGCGCAGATGCAGACGCACCGCACAGCGCCTCACCGCTCAGCACATGTCCGTCAAGTTCTCGTCGGTGCTAGGCTCGGGCTCGTCTCTGGCCTCCGCGCCGGCGGCCGCTGTGGACCCCGCAGCGCCCGCGTCCGGGGCGGGCGGTTTTCCTCCTCGCCCACTTCTGGCGTTGGCTTCTTCATATTCTTCATATGCAAATTCTTATTATTATCATTATTACGATTCTCCTTGCGCCAAGCAGCGCGCACCTGGCCCCGCTTGCGCCTGCTCTCGAGACCTCCACGGCGGGTCTGATTGGGGGCCCTCGCAGTCCTGGCCGCGGGCGCCTCTGTCTCCTAGCCCTGGCCCACGCTGCCCTTGCTGGCCCTGCTGCCCCTGCTGCCCGCGCCACCCTCGCTGCCGAACTTGGCCTGCCGGCGTCGCGCCTGACCGAAGCTGCCCATGGGCGCCTGGCCCCCAGCGGCGCCCCTGGAGCAGGGTGGCGGCGTCCGCTCGCGAGCGCTGCAGGAGTAGTCAACGGGGCTCGGCGAGCGCACGGCAACGCCCTGGCGCCCAGGCGCAGACGCGGCCAAACCTGCTGCTACACGCGGCGACTGCGGCGGCGTGATCCCCGACGCCGGCCCAGCCACCGCGGGGGCCTGCCCTTCGGCTCGGGCGACTGCGGCCCGGGGCCCGGGCGCCCGAGGGCAGCGGGGGATCTCCACCGACGCTGGGCCAGGAAGACCTGGCCACCAGACACCAGCGCCCGCGGCATGCAGGGCGGCGCTCACGGCCCAACGAGCGGGCCCAGTGCGCCGCCAGGCGTTGTCCGCAGATCATCACCTTCGGATGAAGGAATTCGCCCTCTGCAGTCGGCCGCGCACCCGGGCCGGAGGGGCGCCGATTTGCAGGGCGCACCTCGCCGCCGAACGCGACGCGCAGCTGCAGGTCCAAGCACCCGTCGCCAGAGAGAACTAAGCGCGCCACGGGCTCCAGGAGAGCCCTGCCCATGAGGCATGCGCAGCAAATGCACTCGTCGACCTTGACCGCGTCGAACTCCCCCATGGGCGAGGGGGGGCGCGCTGGAACTTGCCCGCGCGACGTTCTGCCGCCTTCTTGTCCTTCGCCGCGCATCGTCGCCGATGGCCCCCTCAAACGCCTCTGGCGGCGACGGAGCCGGCGCGGCCTTACTCGACGCCGCGAGCCGCGGGCGCGCCGGCAGAGGCGACGCCGAGGTCCGAGGGGCCGCGCCGCTGCAGCGACGCACGGCTGGGCCGCGGCTGCGCGCGCGCGGCGTGGAGACGAATGCCCCTCGTCGCCCTCGCGGGCTCGGCAGATGCGCAGCGGCGCAGCACGTCTGCCAAGGCCGGGCCACGCGACGGAGGTGATGACGGCGTTGGTTCGCGGCGGGCACGCCTCTTGGACTCCGCCGCCAGCGTCCGCGGGGGCGCCGCAGGCGGCGGCGGCGCGGGCGGCATGCCCGGCGGACGCATCATCAGAGGAGCACCACCAGATGGCGCTGCCAGCGCACTACACATGCGCCGAGGCGGTGGACTGGCCCCCGGATCCAATGAAAGCGCAGCCCGTCGATCGGGCGAAGCGGGGACCCGCTTGAACGGCACGTCCGCGCACGCTGCGATTCCTGGAAGTCACGCGAGCACGCGCTCGCGCGAGCACAAACAAAGAAACCCACACACACACACAATCTCTCTCTCTCTCTCTCTCTCCTTCTCTCTCACACAGATATGACATCGCGAACTGCTGCGCACGCCCCCCTCCCCACCCACCCCACCACACACACACACACACACACACACACACACACACGCCACCACCACCACCACCACCACCACCACCACCACCACCACCACGCTACCAGCTGCATCAGCAGCATTTCACCCAGCGCCATCCTCTCCGACCTCCCAAGTCGAGACAAAGCAATACATACACAATGGACACGTCGATCCTGGCCAGCACAGCACAAACACACATTGGGCCCCCGAGTGAGAGATAAGCATGACGAGGTTCGTTTTGGCCAGGCCAGACTGGAAAACAGCGGTCGCACAGGTCACTGCTGATCACCGCCCACCGCGGGCTGATGCTGATGACCTGATACGACGATGAGCTTTCCCGCGGCGTCGAGGGCGACTGCACGTGGAATGCGGTCTCTCGCACGGCGCCCACCGGAGAGAGAGTGGAGCGCTGCGCGATCGACGCAGCCCTTCGCAAGTCCGCCCGCAATCACATCACGGGCCCCCATCCCAGACCAGGGCCCACAGCTGGCCCGAACACAGAAGGTCTCAAAGTCACAGCACACGCGGCAGCATCGAATGCCCTTCCGGAGGCGCGGGCCCGGAGGCCGTCACAGAGGCGACGACGCCCACTGAGCCCAGGCAGAGCTCGAGCTGCACGGCCGTAGAATGGAGCGCTGCTGGCACCACGCGGCCAACGCACTGGGCGGCACTTCGGCCGCCTCGCGGAGCGCGACGGCAAGTGCCAGGCCATGATCAGTAGAGGAGATCGCGGCCATCAGCTAACTCGCGATGGTGTTTCTCGCCCATGTCTTGAAAGCTCCGCACTGCTACTCCAGCAGGTGGCAGGGTTTGGTGCCAGTGGAAGACGATGGCGCTGATGCTGAGGGCGCGCTGCCCACGTGCTGGAATACTGCACCGCGCAGGGCGCGACCTGCATGCACGCGCCCACGCAGAACGCGGCGTCGGAATGGACTTCCAGCTTAGCCGCGCACCTCATGGCTGGGCGGTGAATCTTCAATTGCTTAGCTTGCGCCAACATGACCAACGCAGCGGCCGACGCGGCCGCGCGCGGCCTCTGCGCGGCGCTGCAGTGCGACCACGTAGACATGAAAGCCTATACGTGTGACGCGGGTGAGGAGAAGCTTTGCTAGGCCATCGAGCGCCAGATTCAATTCGTTTCCCCAACGAGCTCAACACCTCCATTCGGCTTGAGAGCCAGCACGTGGTCGTCTGATCCATATCGTATACCCCGCCACGTGCAGGCGAAAGCCGGGCCCAACAACATACGAAAATTCCTTCGGAAATGTCCAGCTCCCCCTTGCGCAAAGCCCTGAAAAAAACACTCGCTCTGAGAGTCGCGGGGAGGTGCCTGCGCAGGTGGCGATGAGGCCAGCGTCCGACGCTGAAGCATTGCAGAGTCAGTTGCATGCGAATGCTCCGTGCCTCCAGCGGGAGATCCGCCGTGGTTCCGCGTCCATGTCCATTGGCCCACCCACCTGAACTCCAGGATATTCCTGGCTCCTCGGCGCGGTCACCATGAGAAAAAATCGCGGTCTACCCAGACCTGGAGCTCCTCGAGCACAGCCGCGGCAACAGCCGCAGCGTGCTCTTGGAATTCGTGAGGGGTGAGTAGGTCGCTGTCGCGTTGGAGCACAGCCTTCTCTGATCCTACCATATAGACCCTGAGTCAGTCACAGTGGCCGTCAGCTACTGCATGGTCAAAGATGAGCTTGGGCATCTCGTCGGGTGCCAGCATTTCCACGTCAGCATTTCGTGGACGTCGAAGTCGATTGCCCCCGATGGCTTGAGAAGCTCAGCATCGACAGCTCAGTTGTGCCAGTGGAGCTGCGCCTCCGAGTCAAGTGCGCGCGGCGGAGGATATACCGGGGGCGGGCCGTGCCTCGGTCTCCCGGAGGGAGTCGCAGCTCACCGCACCTGCTGTGAGGACATCACGCATGACGGTACGTTATTCTGCCGTCAGGGATGCCCACCAGGCCGAGTCGAGGAGATGCGCGTCGCTCGAAGAATCCCCGCGAGACCCTTCCTGGGTGGTTGAGAGTCGGCCACTATCGTGGGCAGACCCGTCAAGGTGCGCACCTGCCCCAGAGGCGTCGGCACTGCCCCTCCGCATGCCCACCACTTGAAGCTCGTCTTCCACAAGATCTCCAAAAGGAGCGGCCACCAATACTCCCGATGATAAGCAATAGATAACAGATGTTGCTGCGTTCTGGGCCTAGGAGCTAAACGAGGCTGGGTCGGCCAGCCTCGGTGCTCCGACAAGTTTCAAGCTCGCGTAGGCCCAGTTTCCACCATACCAAGAGTGAGCCGTCTTTCGTGTCCTCGGTGACGATACGCTCAAGGCCACGCTTTACTTGGACGGCAACAACACTGGCAATATTATTCACGTCCCTGGCGAAGTATTCGAGACCAATGGCAACTTGGCGTCGCGAGGTGGTCACCGCAGTGCTGGCGCCGACGTCAGCAACGCAAAATCTCTGCAGCGTGTTCGCCACAATGTTGTATGTATGCAAATATAGATATATACATATATACTGGTATACGATCACCAATGTTTGAACATGTGGCGTCGTAGTTTAGCTGGTAGCTTCACAGACTAACCCTCCACAGTCCATGACCGTCGTACATCACCAAAGCGGCATAAGTGATCGGCGCCTCGGCAACTGACAGTCACAATACCATGTTGAGTATCCATATTGAGGACGGCTGATGGTCCACTCAAGCCGCTCCAGTCATTGGTGGATGGAGCTCGGTAGATATCGACGAGCTCCCCTGGTTTGCAGTCCAGGGTCTGTCCGGGGACTGTGGCGAGGGTCCTTGAGGCGCGGCTGATTCGTGAGATGGCCGAGGCCTCCACGATCTGGTACAATGCTAACTTTCGTAGTCGGTGCGAATTGCGTTAAACTCCTGCCGCGTCATCTGGGAGTGCCAGCACATCTGGCAACATCCCTGGCTGTCGACCAAGACTGGCGTTGCAGGGAGTGGCGCGTCCGCACGATATCGGCGAGCTGGCAAACACTTTCTCGGACAAGACGTCAGGCATGGTGACTCGCTAGCCTTCCCGCCTAAGCTGTTCGTCGGTAACATGCATGGTGCACTGGGGGATCGCAACGCGTCACTCGATCATTCACGCATGCTGGTCTGGGGCTCGCACTCGGGCCACGGTACCATGCCGATAGACGAACAGCTGCGCTTCAGCTCCAGAAACACTTCGTTCGCAGTCCGCGCCCAAAGTTTTGAGCACAGGCGCTCGGAGGATCGATGCCCGGTATCGCTAGCATCTCCCTCGAGCAGCCGTGCTGCGTGCCACCTGTCGGCTCTGTCGAGAATAAGCCAGATGGGACACTTGCGGGGGAAGAGGACGTCTCCCTTCACTTGTTGGCCGAGAGCCGTGACCAGTTCCACAACGAAGGCGTTGACTGCGACGAATTGTACTGTACGCCCACGCCCAGCACTCGCGGCAAGCGTCGGTCGATCACGCCTGCAAGAACGTGGATGACCGAGTGCGGGCAGCGGGCTGCGCTCCACACGTTCTGCATCTGTGCCCGTGTGGCGTGTCACCGGTGGGTATATGGCTCGCATGTCTCTCGTCGCATCGGCGATGCGTCGGCTGCGCGTAGTCTGCGCAAGCTCGGCGTGACATCGCATGGCGATCTTCCAGGGGAGGAGGTGATGAAGCGGAGGAGGGATGAGGAGGGGCAGGGGGGAGAGGGGGAAGGAACAGGAGAGAAATGGGAGGAGGATTGCAGAGGCGCTCACGCTGAAGGCACCCACACCGGATGCACTCGCACTGTGGACACTCACACCGGCAGAGGCGTTCAGGCCAGAGGAGCTCGCGCAGGCGCGGAAGTGGCCCCCAAAGGAGCTCAGAGCGGATGCGCGCACACGGGGGGCACGCTCGCGTGCAGACGGGCAGGGGTCCGACGGCGACGGCTCTCCAACACTGGAGCCGTCCACTCGTTGGGGCCGTGCTGCTTGCAACGCCCAGCCGATCCCTCTCTCTCTGTCTCTCTTTCTCTCTCTCTCCCTCTCTCTCTCTCTCTCTCTCTCTCTCTCTCTGTCAACTCCTGACAAGTGCTCCGCGACTGGCACCTCGGCGCCGAGCATGGGCGCGGCAGTAATGGATTCCAGCCTTCATCCTATCCTGGCGCCGTCTCGCCCCCGTTCCCCTCCTGTCTGCAGGAGGCACAGCGTCGGAATGCACGCGACTCTATCGCCTTACCGCCGCTCTCGCCTCTCAAGCCCGAGAGGCAGCTCGACTGTATGGAGAGCCCCAGCGGCGATCGAAAGGGCTTCGGAAAGATCGAAACATTGCAATCGCCTGTATGCAGGAGGAGCTCGAGGTGCGAGCATCTGCGCGCACCTGCCCCCATGGGCCACGCCCTGTTGTCTAATGGGCTTGGCGATCACGCGCGGCCAAGAGGCAGAGTCGATCCTTCTTTTCCAACGCAACCAGAGAGGAAAGGGAAGCGGCGATACAACTTCAGACAATGCAGCTCGGCGAGGCGAGAGCATGAACTCACAGCCTCTGACCTCGAGAACCGTGCAGTCGCAGAGAAGTGAAAAACACACGAACTAAAGTCGAGTCCTCACACAGCCCAGGCCACTGTGGCGGAAGAGGCAATATCGGCACAAACGTAAACTTTCGCAGGTCCGCATGGACTTCTCGGATCGGCGCTGGATCCACCTCCCTGGAGCGCAGATCGCGTCAGGCGCCGCGACATGGGCGCCGCAAGGGAGTCCAGCCTCGATCACGGGAAGCAAAGGCAGATCCTGCATGGCCGACGCGGCGCCGCACAGCGAGCACGGCGCTGTGCCCGAGGGGCGAGCGACAGGGTGCGAGAAATGATGTGACACGCGCCTGGCTGGAATGTACACACCGCGTGCACCTCCCTCCCTCTGTTGGCTCGCCTCCCCATCCTCCATCACCACCGCCACCACCACCACCACCACCTCTCCTCCTCCTCCCCCTCCGACTGGGAGACATGTGCCGTCAACGGTGTCCTTCTCATTTGCTGGTCAGGCCACCTAGCCGGCAGACAAGGGCCACACCAGGGTGGCTCCATCCGTCCTTTCCCAAAAACAATGCGTCGACGTGTGCCCTTTCTATATGAACGGTTCGGCGCCGACGCTGCGAGATGCGTGGGGGGACGAAGCGCACATCGTGCTGGCAGTAGCGCAGTGCTGCTCTCCCCACGGCGCCGCGCTCACGGTCTTTGAGAAGTGTACTACCGCTCTGGCGCTGCGCACATCCTTCGCCCGCCAATGCGTCGGCGCGCGAGCGGACTAAACCGTCGCTCTCTCCCGACGGCAGCACTCCGCGGTGCATACGTCTCGCTCCCCGAGTCGTTGGGGGGCGGGGCCGAACGCGACAAGGGCGACTTGTCGCCCTCGCCCTACAGCTCCGTGCAAGCTTCGCGTGGGAGCGGCGTTCCCGCACGGGCGCGGCGCACGCTTTGCCCACCGAGTCGCACGACGGCGGCAGAGGCAGCGGGCCTGCGGAAGCTGGGGGAGCATGCTGTCCTCGCGCCAGCGACGCGCAGCTTGCGCGCGGAAGTGGTATTGCTGCTTCGGCGCGGCGCGTGCTTCGTCTTCGCAAGTTCGTGCTGCGAATGCCCTCTACCCTTCGCCATTGCTCCACGGCGGCCCTCGGTCCTCTCTCTCTCTCTCTCGTGCTGCGGGCCACTTACTATGCTTCGCCCAAGCTCCTGGGGCGCACGCGCAGACTGCCTCTGCCGCGCCACAACGGAAAAAAATATAGTCTTTGCCGCGCTCATCGCAGACCTGGCCGCCCGGAAAGGCGACCCGCAGCGCCGCGCAGGGATTCTCTCCGAAGTTCCCTCCTCGCCCGTGCGCGGCCCGCGTGTCTTCCCGTCGTCAAGCCGGCGGAAGCGGGACGGCGCGCGAGCGCCGTCCGCTCGCCAGGCGGGAGCGCGGTCCAGTCCCAATATCACATGTGATGGGCAAGTCACTGGCGGGACGGTGCCGTCGCGCCTGCGGGCCGCCTTAGAAGATGCCCGTGAAGTGGCCGAAGGAGTCGGTCCAGTCCCAATGTCACACGTGATGGGAGGGAAGGTGGGAATGGATGGAGCACGCCAGCTCGTGCAGCCTGGCCACCGTCCGAACATCCTCTGCGCAGAGGGTCTGGGTGCGCATTGCTCTCGGGAGCCAGCGCAGCTCCCCGCAAAAAAAAACTGAGACTCCTCCTCCCCTCCTCCTCCTCCTCCTCCTCCTCCTCCTCCTCCGCCTCCTCCTCCTCCTCCTCCTCCTCCTCCTCCTCCTCCTCCTCCTCCTCCTCCTCCTCCTCTTCCTCCTCCTCCTCCTCCTCCTCCTCCTCCTCCTCCTCCTCCTCCTCCTCCTCCTCCTCCGCCTCCTCCTCCTCCTCCTCTTCCTCCTTATCCTCCTCCTCCTCCTCCTCCTCGACAGGGACAGCGAAAGCATCATCATCAGCATCATCATCATCATCATCATCATCATCATCATCATCATCATCATCATCATCATCATCATGATCATCATCATCATCATCATCATCATCATCATCATCATCATCATCATCATCATCATCATCATCACCATCATCACCATCATCATCATCATCATCATCATCAGCATCATCAGCATCATCATCATCAGCATCATCATCATCAGCAGCATCAGCATCAGCATCAGCATCAGCATCAGCATCAGCATCATCATCATCATCATCATCAGCAGCATCATCATCATCAACATCATCGTCATCAGCAGCAGCAGCATCGTCGTCATTAGCATCATCAACATCATCAGCAGCATCATCCTCACCATCATCAGCCTCATAAGAATAATCAGCATCAGTATCAGCAGTATCAGCAGTATCATCATCATCATCATCATCATCATCATCATCATCATCATCATCATCATCATCATCATCATCATCATCATCGTCATCATTACGATCAGCATCATAAGCATCATCATCGTCGTCATCATCATAACCCCCACCACCGTCGCTACCAGCATCGTACTAATCATCATCGCCACCATCAGCATCGTCATCATCAGCAGCATCAACATCATACTCATCGTACTCGCCATCGCCATTGTCATCGTTGTCATGGCTATCAGGATACCATCGGTATCATAATCATCATAATCATCCTCATCTTCGTTGTTCTCGTCACCACCATCCACCATCCAACACCCACCATCCATCAGCGAGTGGCAACCATCCACCTTCAGCCTTCATCATCATCAGCGTCAACATCATAATCAGCATCGGTATCACCACCATCGTCAACAACATCATCATCATCATCAACATCATCAGCATCATCACCATCATTATCACCATCATCATCATCATCATCATCATCATCATCATCATCATCATCATCATCATCATCATCATGATCATCTCCATCTGGCTGTCGCGCCCTTTGGGTGTGGCATTCGCCCGGCAAGCATGGGCGCGCCCCTTCGAGGAGCGCCGAACCGAGCCTAGCCTCCACCCTCCCTCCTTGCAGAGGATGGCAGAGGCGGAAGGAGGCAACGGTGGCGCATGCTCGAGGAGCCCGAAGCGTCGTTGAGGACTGACTAAGATCCGATCGGGCGACCTGACTTTCATAGTACAGACATGTCCCAACCAGTGGTTGCACGGTTTGTTAAGTGTGTCCTAAGACACTGAACTCCGTTGTCGGGTCCAACGCCTTGTGGTCGCCGTCGCCGCCACGTCGCCGCCACGTCGCCGCCTGTCGCCTGGGCTCCGCTGGCCGCCTTGTGATCGCCGTCGCCGCCCCGTCGCCGCCACGCGCCGCCCCCGTCCCCCCAGCCCCCTCTCCCGTTGCACTCGCACTGCATCGCATTGCTTTGTTCTGCTGTGCGTTGCGTTGCCTCGCAGCGCGCTGCCTTACTCGGCATGGCTATGTGCTGCGTTGCATTGCACTGCATTGCGTTGCATTACTTTGGACTGCTCAGCATCGTGTTGTATTGATACCGCATCGTGCTGCATTGAGTTGCACCGCGTTGCATTGTGTTCCATGAAATCGTATTGCATCGCACTGCTACGCATTGCTTGACATTGCTTCACGTTGGAATCGCATTGCATCGCGTTGCAATGCGTTGTATTGCTGTACAGTGCGTTGCATGTGTGTATTGGTTTGCGTTGACTTGCATTGATGACGCATTGCGCTGAAGTGGTGTGCATCGCTTTGCAGTGTGTCGAATTGATTTTCATTGCAATCGCACTGCAATCACGTTGCATTGCCTTGCAGTGCGCTGCATTGCAATCGCAGTGCAGTGCATTGCATTGGTTTGCATTGCGTTGCATTGCTTTGCATTGCACTCGCATTCCATTGAGATGCATAGCACGGAATGGATTGCACCGCCTAGATTGCACCCTATTGATTGCACCACCAGGGTAGTCAATTGCACCGTATAGACTGCAAGAAACCATTGTTTGGGGTCCACGCTGGCTACCATGCAGGTTTCTTTTTCGCTGTGCAGTCCGTGTCGTCCAGACGGTGTGGGGCCCGGGACCAAGGGCCGAAGAAGGCGACGACGACAATCGGAGACGAGGAGCACGACGGCTTGGGCACCTGCGGAAACTAAGACGGCGGGCCCAGGTGGTCGGCGATTTGCCAACTCCCCAAACTAGGGGAAATGGAGAAGAAGAATAAGCAGAAGAAGAAACCTGCTTGAGTTCAAGGAGATGTAAGGACCAGGGAGAGGAGGGGAACAGACGCGCGAACCCATGGATACAGGACGGGTATGCGCGGATACCCCGCGCGGAACGTATCCGTGGGTCGCGTATCCATGAGATCGCGCCTCGGCGTCTAGAAACCGAATGCATGGATGTGGGCATGCTCGTCGCTCGAGAGCGGTGCCTGGAGCGCTCGAGGAGGAGGACGGGTAGAAGGAGGAGGAGGACGACGAGGAGGAGGACGAGGAGGAGAAAGAGGAAAAGGAGGAGCGATGGGGAGGGCACGGCCACCGAGAGTGCGCCACGGCGACCGCGGCGCTCACTGCTGCCGCTGGCGCTCTCGCTTCCAGTGCCGCCTCGCCGCGCCGGGCAAGTGCAGCAGACCTCGGCCGGGTCAGAGCCGCCCCCCGTCTGTGCCGACCCCAACCCCGTCACGAACCCACCGTCTAGGGGGCGAAGGAGGAGCAGGAGAAGGAGAAGGACGAGGAGGAGGAGGAAGAGGAGGAGGAGAGGCGAGGAGCGAGGGGGCGAGGGGCGAGGGGCGAGGAGCGAGGAGCGAGGAGCCAGGAGGAGGCCGCTCCGAACCCCCGAAGCCGAGGCGCCCCCGCGCGCTTCCGCCGCCCTCCGCCGAGGGAGGGACCACGTCGGCCCCCCGACAGCTGGGCCCCCCCCCCAGCGCGCCCCGTGCGGGCGGGCGCGGCTCGAGGGAAGCCCGTCGGCCACGCGCGAGGGCGGCCCCATCGGTGAGGGCAGTGGGCACGGAACCACTTGACAAGGAACCCAGGGAGGAGGAGGAGGAGGAGGAGGAGGAGGAGGAGGAGGTCTGGATCGGCGGCAAGCGATGGGGGGGAGGTGAGGGGGAGAGGGCCTCCTCGGGGGGCGGCGGGACTTCTCGGAAGCCCTCGAGCCCTCCGAGAAGTCCTGTTCTGTCCTTGGGGGAGGCCGAGGAAGCTTCTCGGAAGGCCGGGGGACCTTCGAACCTTCTGAGAAGGCCCACTCCTTCTCGCTTCCCCCCCTCGCTCGCCGCCGACTGGAAGCCGGTGGAACTCCAATCGTGCATTGGCCATGGATGGCACCGCCGCCCTCACCAGATAAGGAATCCCCCAGGGTCTGCAGCCTCCTGGACCCACTCCTTAACTAACGCATCCGCCGTAGGCAAGAGTGACCTTTCGCGCGCGGAACGCCAACAGTTTATTTTGTGCCGTCTCTTGTTCTTCGATTTGGTCGAGGAAACCAGGCGGGGGGGACAACGACGACGATGATGAGGCGGCACAAGGACGAAGGCGAGGCAGGGGGGCGCGGGCTGGGTGCTCTGGATCACGACCCCCCGACCCCATCGGGGGGGACGTCGACGACGATGATGAGGCGGCACAGAGCGAAGGCGAGGCGGGGGAGCGCAACGTGGCCAAATCCAAGCGCGCAAGCAGCCTCTGTCGCACCGCGCTCAGCGATCGGGGGGAACACTGTGAGCCCGCACCAGAGGTCACTCCGGCGAGGGGTCACTCCTACGCCTGGCCGAGTCTGGAGGGTGGCCAAGGCCCGATCCCCAGACCTCCGATCTCTTTCCGTCTTCTCTCAGAACGCGGGACCTGGAGCTCTCGAGCTCGTCCCTGGGGCCCGCCGTTCGCCGCGGGCCGCTTCTCTCGAGGCCCACGGGGCCGGAGCCGCGGCAGAGCCGCCCGCTGAGCTGGTGTTTATCATCGCGCGCGGCCGGGCCTGGGAGGGCGTGCCTCTCCCATACCTTAGGTCGGGCACTTCCTCCTACAAGCGGACTTTGGAAGGAAACTCAAAAATCCAAGAATGCTCAAAAAGTAGCCATAGGATCACGAAAAATCGTCCCCTGACTATTTTTGCTCATCCTTGACTTTTACCAGACTATTCCTTACCGTCCTTGAATATTCCTTATGTAAAAAGGCCATGCCCGACTTAAGCGTGCCTCTCCCATGCCCGGACACGAAATGTCGTTGTGGAGGCCCCTCTCCCTCCACTGCCCTCCTCGCTCTTGCATGGGCCGTGAGGGCGAAGCGCCGACGGCGACTGAGGCCCGACCCCTCGCGATCGCAGCGAGCGAGCGAGCAGTCGCCGATTGCTGCTCGCTCGCTGCGATGGCCAGGGGGACCCCTGACTTCGCCAGGTCGCTCGCTGCGATCTCCCGGTCGCTGAGATCGCCGCTCGCTGCCGATTGAATCCGCACTGGACTCCCCCTGGCTGCGCCTCTAGCGCCGCTCCTGGCGCGATTCGCGCGCCAGGCAGAGGGGGTCCAGCGCCGATCCAAGAAACCCGCTCCGAAAGCTTTATGCCTATGTGGCTCTCTCCTTCGAGGAGAGGGCCGGGCCGGCCCCGAGGACCGCTGACTGGATCGTTCTGCTTCGCGACGGCCAGCGCGCGGGCGCCCTCGAAGCCGTACTTGGTCGCCGAGTAGCAGCGCGAGAGGGGCCGGCCGTCCCTCCACGCCAGGCACACCCAGGACTGCATCCTCAAGGCGGAGGGGGAGGAGGACGACGAGACACGGCAGCGCGCAGAAGAGAGGGAGGCGAGGTGGGGGTTCTTCGAAAGCACGGGGCTTCTTTGAGAATGGCCCAGGGGCGTACAGTGGTGTTCGTCAGAAGCTGAGAGGGCTCTTGAGACCGCCCCTGTCTTCTAAGGAGACCCCTGCCATGCTAGCAGACCGAAGCCCCCTCGCACCAACCCCTTGTGCGGGCCACCAGGAGGTCAGTGTGACAGCAAAAACCTCTCCCACTTGCAAGGCCCGGCCCTCGATGTTCGTCCCACCCCCCAACGCAGCAACCTCACAAGCGACATCCACATCGAAGATGAGTCAGCCAGCCAGTCCGTGGCGCTGGGAACGAGAGCGGGAGGAGGCGGAGGAAGGGAAGCAGCACGAGGGAGAGCGGACAAGTCGCTGCTCCGACACCCCCACTGCTCCAACCTGCCAAAAACAGACACGGCCACCGCGCTACCAGACGGAGCGCGGAACAAAGAACGGATTGGCTCTCCTGGGCCACGGCGAGCCTCGGCCACGAGAAGGTTTCCCGACCTGGATCTACAAAATGGCCCGAAAAAACCAGAGCCCCCCTTCAGCCTGGTGGTCTTTATTTCAGCATCTTGGCTACACTTCCAAAAAAACAGCAGCAAGGAGGGAGAAAGAGAGAGAGAGAGAACGCAAGAGAGAGAGGCAAAAAACAAAACAAACAAACAAACAAACAAACAAACAAACAAACAAACAAACAAAGCACACAAACAAACAAACAAACAAACAAACAAACAAAACAAACAAAAACGGCCCAGCCTTCGGGGAACAGGGCCAGACTGAGGGCAGTGGCTCGTTGCCGAACACCCCGTTTGGGAGATGTTGCAAGTTGCCCTGTCCTTGACCGGGAAGTTGGACCCACGGACGCCCCATTTGGACAGAGAAAGAAGGGAAGAGGAGAAGAAGGAGGTTAGAGCGTCATGGGAGGAGGAGGAGGAGAAGGAGGAGGAGGAGGAGGAAGGGCTGCATCCTCGGGTCGTAGAACACGCCCTCCTGAGGTGACTCGTGGACAGGTTTGGTGCCGAGGCGGCCAGCGGCGCGGAGCTCCTCGAAGAAGCCCGCCGCCTCCTGCCTGGCCCTCTCCACGCCGTACTTCTTGACCGGAAATGGTTTCGCATTCAGCTTACTGTGCTCAAACCACTGGACCTCCCAGGTCTCGTTGAGCTCATCCCAGTAGATGTTCGGGTTGTCGCTCTGGTAGTAATCGTCCCGGACCATGCACTGCTGATTCCGCGCCTTGTGCACTGGCATGAACCTGTTCTGGCTCTGCATCCGAAAGCTGTTCCCGATGCCCCACCGGAAGACACGGATGTGTTCCGCCTTGTCACGCCTGTAGACCCTGGGGCCCTGGCCGCTCTCGGCGCTCCCCTGGACCGCTGCCAGGGAATCGTCGGCCGCGCCGCCGCCTGGGCCCGAACTGCTTCCAGAGGCGGTGGAGGAGCAGAGCCTCACCTGCAGGGACGCCCATCGGAGGTTGGCGCCGCGACGCGCGAAGGCCAAGGCTCCCGCAGCCAGCGCAAGGGGCGCCATCGCTCGTCTGGGACGCTGCTCAGACAAGTGCCAGATCCGAAGGGATCGAGGCACACAGCTTTGAGACAGCTCGGGAGGAGATGTGCGGATAGGGGACAGGTGCGCAACTGACGGCCATGCACGCGTGGACGCCATACAGCGGGCTCGTGTCGTGGCAGTCTAAACGAAATTTCTGACACCGCGGGGATCTTCCAAGCTGAACGACCACGGCTCTCCGATATCGCAGATCGTTCGATCTCGGCGGCTTCCGAAACACCAGGCGTTCAACCTTGAATGCTCGCGCGAGGTTGCCGTCGCGTCAACGGAGCTCGCACCTACTGTACGCATCGATGCCTACGCCAAGACGTCAAGTGGGCACCAGATCGGTACACTAGGTTACTCCCAGCCTTCCCGACCAGTACCTTTTCAGGCGACCACCCCAGATGCCAGGTCGACACTCAACTCACCTCGTTCACTTCTGCATGTCCTCCTCCACCTCCTCACCATCATCATCATCATCATCATCATCATCAGCATCATCATCATCATCATCATCATCATCATCATCATCATCATCATCATCATCATCATCATCATCGTCGTCGTCGTCGTCGTCGTCGTCATCATCATCATCATCATCATCATCATCATCATCATCATCATCATCATCATCATCATCATCATCATCATCATCATCATCATCCTAAGTCGTCATTTGCGGTTTCAAAAGGGCCACCCGACTGTGCCTCATGTACAAACACACACCAGTGACTTTTCGCCTCCGTCCCTCGGCCTCGTAGGGGCAAGGGTGGCTGGAGGACCCCCCATAGAGTCCGTTGTGCTGACAAGACGTCAGTGGTAGACATGCGGATCTGTTATTACAGCCCACTGGCGGCAGGCAGCTACGAAAGCCACGAGGATACCAGTTGTGAACTGAAATCCTGGGACGTGGTGCTTCTCAGTGGAACGTGTGGGTGGGCAGGGCCAGAGGCCGTTCAGAAGACGCACCTCCCTCACCGCGTCGTCCTCCAATGCGGGGCAAGCGAGGGGGTCAACAAAAGCTGTGGGACCAGCGTCCCCCTCAGTCAACAATTGGACGAACGGATTCCCTGCGAGAAACGTACCAGCCCACAACAAGTCTCAAAGGCAGGGTCGTGGGTATCCGAATTGCTATCAGACAATACAACTACGCGTTATGTGGCTGCTACTAGACCCGAGTCTCGGTTCCTTACCACGCCGACCTAGCGGAGGCTATCAGCGGATGGGTGGAAGGTAGGCTGGACACCTTAGGCTGTCGTTCCACCTCAGTGGTTGGAGGCGAAATCAACAGCGACTTCGAATGTCATCGGAATCACGACGATACAGTGGTCCGCACCGAAGGGCCCGTGGTCGGGGGATCGCAGGCAAGCCTAGAGAATCTCAACAGGGCTAATGCTCGGAACATGTGCAGTGCTAGCGGACTCGCCATCGCTACCACCGAATGTGACGTAGGACCCACCTACTATGGCCACCCAGGTCACATCAGCAAGGTGGACCATGTGGCGCTTCCGACAGCGGCAAGAGGCAAGGTCGAGTAGCAGAGGCGCGTGAAGATCATCGAGCGCATCTGGCAAGCTCACGAGCAGCGGAACGTTGCAGAGATGCACCGGCTTCGAATCAAATATCCGAGAAACGGTCGCGGCCCTAAGAACCGCTACTACCTGACACCACGCACGTACCCAATGGCCCACGGATATCTGATTGGAAGAGCTTCGGAGGCCTGCCCTGGAAGGAGGCCTTGCCGCAGATGCGACCGACCGTGCGCAGTCACTGGTGGAGCATGCTGCTTATGTCGCCACCCACACAGGGAGCTAGCCTGCTGACGACAAACTGAGGGCCCACGTCGAAGCCGACAAGAGATCGATGCTGCGGCACTAAGCGATCGAACAACCGACGGGCCCGGCCAGAGTCGGGACTTCACTTGGCTCGCTAAACCCTAGCGTCAATATCGAGGAATCCAGTGCGTTGAGCGAACGGTTTGGACTTCAACGGATAGTAGCAGCCGAAGGACGGAAGGATACGGACGACCTGGCCCGCTGCTCCTCTTTCGTCAAGTTTCGACGAGGAAAGGGGTTTTTGCTGAAGATGGGATGGTGCGATAGAGAAAGACGAGGAAGGACGGGAGGCAGACTGGACAGCACGGGGGAAGCGGCATGGGATAAGCGCCCAGTCCCACTTGGCAGAGGGAACTGTGCAGGTGTGGGCGCATCCAAAGTAGCTGATCAACAGTATGAGTTCCAGCACTATATTGCACAGTTCCTAACCCAGTGCCGCGAGGTCCAGGTGGCCCCCATATAATTGCATCGCTCTCAGGCGTACGCGGCCGAACACACATAACGAAAAGGCAGGCGTCTTAGGTCAGCGACAGCTGGATGTCCAGGACGCGTTCAGTATGGTATGGCGCTCAAGCATCCACAGCCGAAGCGAAAAGATCAACCCTACAGAGCGCAACCCGGCCCTGAGCTTTGGTGGGCCCAAGCCAGGGCAAGGCCGTGCTAGGGGGGGACTCCGGGAAATCCTAGTGGACGAGGATCGCGCCACACGGGTCGCCCTGATAGCCGACAACATCCGTCGCCCATCACGGACATGGTGTGAACGGCCTCCGACCGCCAGGCGCAGCGTCACGAGTCTGGTGGGACGGGGGCTGGCACGGTTGCGGCGCACCCAGGGGATAGCCTCCAGCGGAGTCGCCAGCTCGAGTGAATGGCCAGTCGCTGTCGGGCGAGGGCGCCGCCTCGCAGGGAGGGGCTAGGGAGCGCTGGGCGCAGGATCGGGGCCCTATCATTGACGCACACTGGCTTGGATGAGGAGCGCAAGTCGGCTGTGCCAGACGTCAGGGATCCACCCGCTGTCGGCGGCGTCAGGAAACAGACGCACGGTCTCGAGAGGCAGAAGCCGCAAGTCAGCTTTTACGCTTCGAAGGAAGATGGAGGTCGCGGAGGTGGAGCCCAGCACGATCTGGAGCCCAACGCGATCAGCTACGATGCTGGGCGGCTGGGATCGGCTACAGTGTGCTGGGGCGCTGGGATGGTTTACTAGTAAGCTTCGGTCAGAACGCGTACATCTGCTTTGGGCTGGTGAACATCACGATCCCCACGTTCCCGAGCTGGCAGGCGCAGGTTTCCTCCACGCCCTCGACCATCTAGACCATATCCTTTTCAATGAAGTCGATGACATCTTCTTTCTCTGCGTCCACCTCGAGCCCCCCAACCACAGCAGCACGCGCGAACTTATCTTGTTCTCAGTCTCCTGCCCGCCCGCTTTCACCACCGATCCGAGGAGGAAGGAGCTCCACCGTTTCAGCAATCATGGTCACCACCTCTGCCTTCGTCTTCGCTGAGATCGCCCACCTGCTCCCCCAACGCTTCCACGCGTGTCATGGCTTCCTCGGACGCAGCATTCGCCATGTTTGCCCGAAGCTTGACCATGCTCAGCTCGTCCTTAATACCTGTACCCCCCACCCTGCAAAATCTCCGCCGGGACCCCCCCACCACGCCCCCACCACGTCTGACACCGCCAGCCTCCCGAGGCCTCTGGGCAAAGGTTTTTAGGGACCCCCCACCCCGCAAAATCTCCGCCGGGAACCCCCACCACGCCCCCACCACGTCTGACACCGCCAGCCTCCCGAAGCCTCTGGGCAAAGGTTTTTAGGAACCCCCCACCCTGCAAAATCTCCGCGGGGACCCTCCAAGCCCCCACCACGTCTGACACCGCCACCCTCCCGAGGCCTCTGGGCAAAGGTTTTTAAGGACCCCCCACCCTGCAAAATCTCCGCCAGGACCCCCCACCACGCATCCACTACGTCTGACACCGCCAGCTTCCCGACGCCTCTGGGCAAAGGTTGTTAGGCACCCCCACCCTGCAAAATCTCCGCCGGGACCCCCCACCACGCCCCGACCACGTCTGACACCGCCAGCCTCCCGAGGCCTCTGGGCAAAGGTTTTTAAGGACCCCCCACCCTGCAAAATCTCCGCCGGGACCCCCCACCACGCTCCCACCACGTCTGACACCGCCAACCCCGAGGCCTCTGGCCAAAGTTTTTAGGGACCCCCAACCCTGCAAAACCACCCCTACCGGAACCCCCCACCACGCCCCCCCACGTCTGACACGCCAGCCTCCGAGGCCTCTGGGCAAAGGTTTTAAGGGACCCCCCACCCTGCCAAATCTCCGCCGGGACCTCCACCACGCCCCCACCACGTCTCACACCGCCAGCCTCCCGAGGCCTCTGGCCAAAGAATTTTGATGACCTCCCACCCTGCAAAATCTCCGCCGGGACCCCCCACCACGCCCCCACCACGTCTGACACCGCCAGCCTTCCGAGGCGTCTAGGCAAAAGTTTTTAAGGCCCCCCAGCCTGCAAAATCTCCGCCAGGACCCCCCATCACGCCCCCACCACGCCTGACGCCGCCAGTCTCCCGAGGCCTCTGGGCAAAGGTTTTTAAGGCCCCCCCCCTGCAAAATCTCAGCCGGGACCTCCCACCACGCCCCCACCACGTCTAACACCGCCAGCCTCCCGAGGCCCCTGGGCAAACGTTTTAGGAACCCTCCACCCTGCAAAATCTCCGCCGGGACCCCCCACCACGCACGCTCCCACCACGTCTGACACCGAGGCCTCTGGGCAAAGGTTTTTAAGCACCCCCCACCCTGCAAAATCTCCGCTGGGAACCCCCACCACGCCCCCACCACGTCTGACACCGCCAGCCCCCGAGACCTCTGGGCAAAGGTTTTCAAGGTCCCCCCACCCTGCAAAATCCTCTGGGGACCCCCCACCACGCCCCCACCACGTCTGACACCGCCAGCCTCCCAAGGCCTCTGGGCAAAGATTTCAAACGCCCCCCACCCTGCAAAATCTCCGCCGGGACCCCCCGCCACGCCCCCACCACGTCTGACACCGCCCAGCCTCCCGACGCCTCTGGGCAAAGGTTTTTAAGTACCCCCACGCAGCGGGACCCCCACCACGCCCCCACCACTTTGGACACCGCCAGCCTCCCGAGGCCTTCCGAGCAAGGACCCCCCACCCTGCAAAATCTCCGCCGGGACCCCCCACCACGCC